TAAATCTCAAAAGAAATTACATGTTTTTAATTCTTTGCCAATGGTCTTGAGGAAAGCAAGTGTTGGTATGCAAACTTGAAATGTTATAAAACATTCTAATTTAAAAATAGAATTTTTCAAAACATTACCATCAATCAGATGAATTGAGGGATAATAGAAGTCAATAACAATATAACAATATATCTTCATCTACTCTATATACTACTTGTTCTACCTATGGAAATTATATAAAATTTTCTTTTTACTTGTGGGAGCTTCCTGTAATTTTACTTGATATTTATGAAGATAATTAACATAATTAATACATTATTGAAAATTAAAACACTAACATGGTAATTAGGAAGATGTAGCCTGTTTATTTATTTATTTATCAATATCACATATTGTCATGTGTTAAAGTAATTGCTATAAACATATGGCTGTTAAATAAGCAGTTTAAGAGGACTAAATTAACATAGCTTTAAGTGGCCAAAGATATACATGAAGTTGAAATAGTTTAATTTCAGGGTTGAAACATGTCATATTGCATGATTTATTATAATTAATAATTTCAAATTATTTATTAAAGCTCTGAACAGTTCAGTTTACATGGTAACGATGGTATGAGATCATGATTGAATTTTATACATAATGCCATGTTTAGATACAGATGGTCAGTTATAGGTCGGATTGTTACATATTCATAGATTCACCACAAAAATTTGTACATTTAAAGTTCCTATTACAAATTCTTATTTGAATTATTTGTTTTATTTGAATTACTCATTTTATTCATTTTGTTCATTTTATTCAATTATTCATTTTTTTCATTTGATTCATTTTATTTGTTTTATTTGCTTCATTCGTTTTGTTCGTTTCATTCGTTTTGTTTGTTTCGAATAGAAATCCTAAGGATGTTCTATTTTTTCAATTCATATATAAAATTCATCGTCTCTGCAAACTTTTAAACTCTTATGTTTTGGGTTCTAAAATACAATGCCTTTGAGTAATTAAGTTTGTGCCTCCAGAAAAAACTTGTTCACTGGTTGTTATTAGATTAGAAAATTAGTGTGTTTGGTTCTAAATAAGCAGAGTGCAAAAATTAGAGTACCAGGAACTGCCAAATAGTTTTTAGCCTAAGCTCTGAACTGTTTGGTTTAAACCAAACCAAACCAAAATTCTTCAGTTTGAACCAAACTGTTCAGAGCTTTATTATTTATCTTGAAAACCAGTGATCCAAATTTAACAAATCACAGCACATTAGAATAGCCTCATAAAGAGGATTTGAATAATGGCATTTTAATGTTCATAGCATTGATAAATAGCAAGTTATTGTAAGATGTAACCAAATTTTATGGATTACGTCTCATTAAGATCTCATTGAGAGAATTCAACCAGTAATTTTTTTATCCAAAACAGCCAGATATTGACTGTTATAACAATTTGATTGGTTTTTCTGTATGCTCAGCCTGTTGTGTGATGTAATTTCAACCATTTTAGCTTTTAATTTGACTTTTGACCTCTCAGGTTAAAATGTTTCAACTTTTGGGTTTTAATTTTGACTTTATGTATAGCCAAAGAAAGTAAAAATAAATAAATAAATAAAGAACTTATAAAATCATTTATTTGCTAAATGGAGGTTGTGGGAAAAAAGAACAATGTTATATTAAACATTTTCATTTATTGTTTAGTGTTAATTATTGGACATATAATTTTCATCATCATATATTACAAATAAATTATATTTTTCTATCTCAATATTTACAATATATATAGAATATCCTTAAATATCCTAAATCTTGATATTTTTTTACTGATTTCAATCTGTGAAAATCATCATATCCTCCACTTATTGCAAAAGGTTTAGGCCCTTTCCAATCCTTCATTAGATTATCAAAAGAATTATCACTAACATTAGAAATCTTGTGATTAATAATTATTGACTTTAATTTTTCTGGTAATGTTTGATTTAAAGCTGCTAAAATTCTATCACCATTTATTTTATTCCTGCTGCATAAACCAGGTTTTTTAAATTCAATACTTTCTAATTTGATACAATTATTGAGTATTTCCATTAACTCCTGGTCTACTTCATCTGTATAAACTATTGATAAATCTACTAGATTTTTACAGCATTGTGCAATTGATTGAAATAGCTTGCCCAAAAGTTCACTATCATCAGCAAGAATATCTAGATATTTAAGAGTTTTTCCGTTGATATTAATAAAATCAGACAAGTCAGATAGAGATGGTTGACCATACATATATAAATTCACAGATTCAATATGTGGTAGTGAAAGGTTTTTCAAATATTTTATTTTGATACCAGTAACATATGATACTAATGATAAAGTCTTTAAATTGTATAGAGTTGGTAATAATATATTATCCATATCATATACTTCACTGCTTGAATAACAAATTATTGATTGTGAATGTGAGAGAATTGCTTTTTTGAAATTATCTGATAAAGTTTTATCAGTGTATGAAGAAATGGATAATTGCTTTATTTGCTTTTGTGCTTTAATTAGTTGAGTCAGACTGTCTTGAAATTCATTGCTAATTTTTTTATAATATCCATATTCATATTGAAATTCGTATTCATATTCATATCCATATCCTATTTTTAATGATTGAATAGATTTGCAAACATTTGCTAATTTATAAATAAATTCAATACTACGAGTGAATGTGCAATCTAATTTATTGAGATTCTGAAAACTATGATAATTATTTACCCAATCCAAATTTATATTATCGGTGCTAAGCTCTTTAATAACTGTTGAATGATCCAAAATAAAATTTACTAATCTATTTTTTAAAAAATTTAATCCAGAAGTTACCAACTTACTAAAATGATAACCATCAATAAAATAAAATCTAGTACAAAATCTAGCATAATTATATAATGGCGATTTGTCCAAGAGGTCAAAAGTCAATTCAATGTTATTTCTTATTAAGAAGTCCTTATCTTTTCCCAATAAACAATTGATTATTATTTTAGTGCTGTTAAGAGAATAAAATGGATTTCTCCATAAAATTGGAATATTAATATTGTTCCATTGCTTATTTACTAGGATGCAAGAATATAATGTTTCATAATCATCTTCATTATATTTAAATATTTCACTTAAAAGCTCAAGTGGTAAAATCATCATTAACATTTTTTTTTTGTATATAGTAAAATTAGTTTTATTTGTTCACTAGAAATGCTAAAATGGGAAAATCATTTATTTCCCAACCAATAAAATTTAATAATTATTTCTAATAGTTTAAACAACTTTTTATTGTAAAAGGTTTAGGTCTTTCCAATTCTTTATTAGACTATCAGAATTATTAATTGTCACTAAAATTATTATCAACTTTAAAATTTTTTTTGATCCATCTTAAATTTCATTGGGTGAATTCAACTTTTTACTAATTTATTTAATAAATATTAAAGAAATATACACTATCATCAAGGAGGTGAGGGACAAACAGCTATTATTGTTATTATTATATTTAAAAAGTCCATGTTCCTTTTTTTTTTTTACACAATCTTTTCATAAGCATTTATGGATTGGATCAAGATCACCTTAATATTAACACAATGAATGGATATATTCGTATCCTTTATTAGGAAAAACATGTCTCATATATATGTGTATTCCTCGTCGTCTCCATACCGTACCTTCCGACAAACAGGACGATAGAATGTTGAAACGAGCTAATTTCCGGGAAAGCCTTTGAAGACGACATCTTTGTAAGTTTGGCTTCCTTTATCATTCCTGTAGGTTGCAGTTCCGTTGATATACCCGCCTGTGGAATTACGACTCGAAATGTAACAGAAGACAGTAAAATTGAGATTAGGTGTAATTATTGAGAAAAAGAAGACGACGACGATGGTGATGTCGATATATCATAGTTATAAAATAATAAAAAATTATTTTGAAACAAATAAAGGCACTCGACTCACTAATTAATCGAAAAGGTAATGAATGGTTTATTGTTTGCCATGATCCTCTCGAAAAAGTAATAGTTATAATAGTTATTTATTGTTGCTAAGATAATTAATCGAAAAGTAAGTATAATGATTATATCACAGTCTAACGACGACATGTTCACGACGACAAAAAAATAGAGATACATGTATATTGATTTTTATTTCTTGTAAAAAATTCATGCTGGTCCAAAAAGAGAAATCAAGTGCAAGTTAAAATACAAGCAAAAAAAACGGAAGGCTATCAGGTGTCTCTGGAAGTGGAAAAGTTTTATGACCTTGGAAAGAAAGAAAAATAAATCCAGCAAGTCAATTTTTACACACCAAAAAAAATCTCTCGAAAATAGAAAATTTCTTCCCCAAAAATCAAGTTTAATAAAAGATTGATTTTTAACATCTCATCAACATCAACATGTCATGTTGACTTATCTCTTCCCTTTACGATCATGTTTTTTTTTTTTTCAATATGTACAACGCAACCATTTTCGTGAAACTGCAAATTCCATACTAATACTAATACTAATAAAATCACCAATAGATTTTGTCGTTTTTCTCACATTATTAATAAGTATATTAATTATTTTTAATTAAACCCTTTAAAGTCTTGCAATTCTATTTTTTAATATTAAATCCTAAATTTAAAAATCGTAAGGTTTATTTTTAAATTTTGTTCCGAGTTTACCCGTATTAACAATTAAACTAGTACTAATTTATTATTTTCCCCACACAAGATTTATATAAATATAGGCTGCATTTTCATTTGACTCTTTGCACAGCCAATGTATTAAACAATGTTATTATTATTATCTTAATATAATTTTGAGGATTTATTATCCATTGGTTTATTCTAGATTAATATAATGTAATTTTGACGAAATGTTTAGGTGTAAAACTATTATGTTAAATTCACTGCCATTAAAACCAAGAATGACGACAATGTAAAAATTTCAATCATTTAATGTACACACCCACAAAATAAAATGCATGATGACAAAATTTTTGTTGATGAGAAAAAAAAATTTCCCCAGAATGAATTTATATTATGCAAATGTTACATGAAAATATTAAGGAAATCTATTTCAGCGTTGTGTTACACATCAAAAAAGCACGTTTACTAATTTACATGTTTGAGGAATTGGGACTTGAAAATAGGCTCCCTAGTAAGTAATGAAGAAAGATCACATTAAATATTAAAAGAAATTTATTGTTAGGAAACTTTTCATAAATTAAGTTCCCATTTACATGTATGTTTAGGCAAATAAAAACAAAAAAAATTAAATTTCTCAAATGGTTTTTAATGTTTCAATTTTACATGTAATTCTTGGAATTTGTCATTAAAGCCTCAAAAATGCTATATATAAATTTCTCATATATTTTTTTTTTGGCGAACTTCGATACTTACCATAACGATTATCTCAAAAGACAATCAAGATCAGAAGATAATATAAGCGAATACAAGTGATTAAGTTATTGTTCTATTAAGGATTCTTCCATGGTTTGGTGATTTCATGGGCTTCACTATAATTTTCAAGAAAACTCTTTTCAACCTTGGCAACAACATTTTTGTTAATTACCACCTTAGTTTTTCACCAAGACATTCCCTTTACATTGCCAAGTGAGCCCGAGAATTGAATTCTGACAAAGAGGTATAGGAGTAAAAGGCTCTCCTATTGATACAAATTTTCTTTTTGGGGTGTCTGCTAGTACTTGTTGATCCACTATCCATTGCTTTAAAGTTGTCCCGTCTAAAATATATCTTGCTATGATTTGGAAAAGTCACGTAATTCTATAGACTGTTCTTTTTGGAACCATTCGTGAACAACCATAATCACAACCTACTTTCGAGAAATGAGGAACTTTTTCATATTAAAGCAGAAGTGCCGTATTCATTTACATATATATAACCCTATTACTATACTTTAATAGTGGATAAGTAAAATTTTTAATTAAATAATTTATTGAAAGGAATTGTTTCTGAACAATCTATCTAAAATTAGCGGGTATCATAATAATGATTCGAATATAGTTAATATATGTGCTATGATCGATCACATCATTAAATATGCAAATCCTTCTATATGTATATAATATTTTTAATTATTAATTTATTTGGATGATGATAATTAATACACAATATTAAATCTTCACATAACAATATTAATATTAATTATTAATATTAATTCATTCTGACTAAATATAAACCTGAAAATTTCCCGATCTCGAGCCTTTTGGGGATCCAGCCCTAACATCATACATTACTTGGCAGAATTATATTGTAACATTGTAACACAAGATCGAAACCCACTATAGCAACAACTGTAATTGTATATAACTGCGGCCTATATTAAAAAACGCCAAAAAAAGGTATGACGCCTTTATGATCCAACTTATTTTATTTATATAAAAATGACGAAAATTATTATGCTTTTAATAATATATTACCACGACAAAATTTTGTATAATTCTTTGGTTGGTTGCTTTTTTTTTTTTATAGAGAATTGAATACGATATAATAAGAGGCTTCTTTAGTAACTAATATAGTAATAGATTATCCACTAATATGAAAATTTTTGTTATAAATTGAGAGAAAATTCGCTCAAGCAGAAAATAAAATTTCCAACCAAAATAAATCAAAATCAAAATGAACAAAATCAATATTTTTTTCATCTTAGTCGTCTTCTACGCTACATTAATCACTTCATTTTCCGTTCCAGTTTCATTCAAAGATATTAAAAAAAGAGCGGATAATAGTACTGATGGTGGTGAGTTTACTCAATGTGCGGGCAGCTTCCCCATCACGTATACTGACAATAAAGTAACTTACACTCCAAAAATCTGGGAACCTGGAAATACCATCACTGAGCATTTCGAAGGAACGAGCAATGCTACAATTGTAAATGGAACAATAGTAGCTTGGAACCTCTACACGACCAGCAAAGATTTTGTGTTTTCATTTATAGCTGACTATTGCACACTTCTCGCTAACGATGATAAGCCATGTCCAGTTCCACCAGGTCCCTTTGACAAAACAGTAAAATGGAAACTTAATGATGATCCCGATCATCAACCTAAAGGCGAAACTATTGAATATTACTTCAATTCGACACGTAAGTTATCATCCATCATCCCATCTAACATTATTATTATTAATTTGTTTGGGAAATGACTTTTAATTAATATTCATTATTCTTGTTTCTTTTAGTTGTCGACCCGTCTCAAACTATTTTGTCGTGTTTAGAAGGCACAATCACCATAAAATACCCTTAAATATCTAAAATCTTTTTTTAATATTTGTATATTTAATTTTTTTTATGAACTTTAAATATATTTTTTTATCGATCATAATTAATAACAACAATAGTATAATATTAATAACAAAATTTAATGAGCACATAATAAAATAAAGCTTTTTTATCTTGAATTTTTGCGTAATCACATAGTAACAGTATAATACATCTTTCCTTGGCAATAAAAAATTCATGGGACTAAAATAAGCAATTAAATAATTTTTTTTACGTTCTGCGACATTTAAAAATCACTATCTTTATTTTTCAATATATTCTATCATCTTGATAGTTCCCAAAACTACACTTGAAAACTTATCGGTTATTACTATAACAACCACAGTATATCTTCAAAGTTTTTGGTTTAACATATCTCTAAATCCTTATTTATAAATCCAACACTTTTAGTTGTGTGTCCGAACAAATCTAATCGAGTCAGATTTTAAAGAGATCTAGTTTTCCAAGTTTTTATTAATTTCAAGATTGATATTATTTAAGACTACTGTTTGTATTTAATGATAATGATATAATGATAATGAATAAATAATGCAAGTGTAATTATTATAAACAGTATTGATTTGAAAATGTTGTATGTGTGAAATATGTGAAATTTGGATTTATTATTTATATATATATTGATTAAAAAGTATTTTTTTTATTACAAGGGTTAAGGTTATGCAATAGATGCATCGTAATTCGAAAAATAGTCTTTATTATTATAGCTTTATTCGTATATGTTGAAATGTTAGAAATCTCGATGAAGGTCTTGGCATCGCTATAAAAAGTATTTAAAATATTGATGACTCCGCCTCGTATTTAATTTATTATCATTATTATCAGCAAAATTTTTTCGGAAAAATTAAGTTGATATGCATGCAGAGTTATTTTTAAACAAAAGTAGTTTATGTAATAAATATGACGGCAATTTCTATTTTGTAAAGGTTACAAAACTATAAAAAAAATTTTTTTTTGACTTTTGTTGAATGATTGTTTATGAAGAGAGAAAAAGAAATAAACTTTTGTACATTAATGATCATACCAAATCCGGTAAAATTTTATTGTTTTGACAAATATATCAAAGATCGAAGACGATTCGTCATTTAAGGAAATTTTTTGTCTGGGCGTTTTTGTTTTTCTTTGTTTTATACCTATTTATTGAATTCATTTTAAAAAATCAACCTGTATTTTCCCATGAAGGAATTATAAAAATGCTTGCTTCCGTATTACATTTCCTTCTTTTAGAATGTGATATGGTCTCATTAAGGTTTTTTTGTTATAAATAGCGAGAGAGAAAAATCATTAAAAACAAAATCGTAAAAATAAAAATAAATAAATTCTTAAAAACGAAACCTCAACATGAACAAATTTAATAACATTTATTTCATCTTCTTATTCTTCTATGCTACGTTAATCGCTTCACTTTCAATTCCACACAGCGATCTCAGAAAAAGAACTCCTGGTGGTAAATTTACCCAATGTCTTGGCACCTACCCTATTGAAATTACTGGGGCCAAGTACACTCCACTAATATATGCACCCGGACAAATTACAACCATGCACTTGAAAGGGACAAGCTATATTGTAATTGAACCAAAAACCATCTTGGTTGTGAATGGCTTCCTTGAGAATAAATTAGAATTACAATTTCAACATGTAGTCGATTATTGTCAAGTAGTCGTCGAACCCAATAATTTGGCTTGTCCGTTTCCAGCAGGACATTTCGACTTTACCTTCCCATGGATGGTTGAAGTTAAACCTGATCAACCTAAGGCCCAAAATATCAATTATTACGTAAACGTCACTAGTAAGTTACCTAACTTTATTTATATATTAATTGGCTTGGGAACTGACTTTTTACTAATTTTATTATTTTATTATTTAGCTTTAAGTCCAGATAAATCCCAACTTTTATCGTGTATAGAAGGTATAATTACCGTGGCATACCCTTAAATCGCATTTTTTTATTTTTATATATATGTAAATTTCTATTAATTTTTTTAAATTTATTTTTATTTCTATTCTATCAAATAATAAATTCTTCATCAAATCTAATACAAATATACAAGTGTACATATTACAGTATATGAATACTTTTTCTTTGATAATGAATTTTTCGAAAAAATCTTTTTTAATAATATTAATATAATCACATTTTTTGAAAAATATTCATACACTACTAATTTCCTTTCTCCAAAATCCTTAATATTTTTGGAAAGTTTGTGTTTTCATAATCAATCATTGACTCTTTTTGAAATCATCTGATAAAACTAGATCCAATAGTCAATTGTTTTATCGAATATTAAGGCAAAAAATCTTGAGATATTTTTACAACCTTTTGTTAGTTTACTTATCATAGATGTTAGCCGAAATGGCTTTTGCATTTGCCAATATTTCAGACTTTCAATATCCTTTTTGTGAATGAAACATAAAATAACCATGCTATTTGATTTATTATTTAAAGAGTCCAAATAATTTTGGATATAGTTTTTAAAATTAATTTTGGCATTGCAGGCTCGCCAATGATCATTTATTAAGAATGGTGATTCCAACTAACGTCTATACGTAGTTTACCAAGAAATTTATAACTGCTAACCTGTATGATATAAATTGCAAGTTAATTCATAATCAAAATCCACAATGATTAATCATCCATTCACATTCTATTCTATTTATTCCAAGCACTGCTGGATGAACTAAAATAAAATTTACTAGGGTACTTGACATGATTACGATATTATTTTCCACAAAGAAATTCTTGTCTTCAACTACATATATACATACCGCCCAAATCCCAAATTCACAAATTAAACTTGGGACAAAAGATTTGAAATTTATCGCATCCAAATTACTTATGACATCTTAAAATTCCAAATTATTATGACATCACAAACTATTCAAGTGCACCATATTAAATCCATTTTCATCAGATTCACGACATAATAATAATATCAATATGTTCACCTTGTAGCTTTGTTCACAAGCTCATACACTCTACATTCACTCTTTAAATTAACAAAATTTACATATATAATATATATATAATATGAGTTATAGTAATTATAGTAATATAGTATAAATATATACACCATTAAAATAGGTAAATTTATATAGATGATGAACTTGGAAATTAATGTTTCTGTTGTAAATTGTCGTAGAACTAATAATAGAAAATGCAAAGTTAAGTAGACAATTAGATCTGGTCCAAGAAGATAATAAATAATATTGATTGAATTATAATCCCAAAATTAAATATAATTTGGGATTAATATTAATGTTGTTTGACGAAATGTTGCCAAGGTTGTAAAACTATTGTCAAATTCGCTGCCAAATGACATTAACAAATATGAAAATTAATATTAATAACGTGATCCATGATCAAGGTAGATAAAATTATTATCAAATGAAAATTTTACACAAAGCTTTTTTATCAAATTACTGTGTAAATAATTATGGAAGTTACTTTACAATAATAATAATCTTTAACTTTATCTGCGATCAACGAAAATTTCGTTACTTGAATGGGAATAACGTCTTTGCTTGAAAAAGCAGAGGAAAATAAACTCTGATGGAATAATTAATCTTAAGAATCATTAAAAACTTTTAAAAATAAAAAATAATAATAAAACGTCGACTTTGTTTTCTTTGTTTGATAAAGAGCAACAAGTATAGTTAGTTAGTGCTTTAGTAAAAGGTAACAATTGTGGAGCATTGGTAAAATGCCACGTTTTATTTGCTTTAGTGAGCAAGCAAAGTTAGGTCTAATGTTAGTTAACTAGTGAATGTTAACAATGGTTAATTAAGTATCGTAATCAGCCAATAAATATAAATGAATATTTTTTTTGCCAATCATCAATCTCGCTAGAGTTAGTTGGTAAAACTCTTTTTTCTGCTGAGGGATTATTACCATTTCCGCTTTGGAGGAAAAGATGGCGGTATTCAGCCTTGTCATGCATTATGGAAACAAAGTAAAGCAAAATCTTTTTCCAACCAGTCGATAATTCCCCACATCTTTTAAAACGGTGATTATTTAAGTCTGATTGTCGCAAACGGGTTTCTACTTTTGAAGTGGGAAGGTTTCGTAATTTTCCGGCTAAATGAATAAAATCTTCTACTTTTAAATCTTCGGTAAATCGATCACAAGTGAATAAAAGGAACTTTTATAGAAGCTCAAAGGCTTTGTAAAAGGTTACGTGGTACCATTAAATGCGCTTACAATTCATCTAGATGCAAGTAGTCAGAACTAAAGTAAATTCGTAAAATAATTGATTGACAAGCACCAAATTATTGTGAGTTGCTTGCGATTAACTGATAAGAATAGCCCATAATTTTAATTAACCAAGGTAAAAAGTTTATTATTTCAAAATATTATTATAATTTAGCTTTAAGAAACAAAATAAGGATAAATAAAAAGATAAATAATTATAATGAATAAATTTATAGTGGAAATTAAATTAGTCATTCATCAATCAATTCTTCCTTTACTATTATTACTAACTAGAATCTATGTTAATTAATTAATTAATTAATATTATTACTAACTAGAATCTATGTTAATTAATTAATTAATTAATATTGTTAGTAATAACTAATAAGTAGTAATTTCTAATTAATTATAATAATGAACTATTATTCACCTTTGTTGACATTTTGGAGAAAAGAGCTAAAATCAAGACTATTTAACGAACTATCATTACTTGTATAAATTTTTAAGCTTTTAGATTTAGCAATCTCTTCATCTAATATTCTACTTGTGTGATATGCATCTGGATGTGATTTGTGTGCTTGTTGCAAAGCACTACCACTGCTAGTAGTATTACCATTATCATCATTTTTATTTTTAATAATTTCGTTATATTTATTTATAGAAAAATCAAGCAGCTCTTCACTAGTTGGTCTTTTTGATGGATCCACATCCCAACACCTCTGCATCATTTGTACATAATCGTCAGGCATTCCAGGTAGTATTGGTGGTCGTAAACCTTCACATATATCAAAAATCAAACGATGATTGTG